GTGTATGAATATACATATTTACTCATGTAATTATTTCAGTGGAGTAAGAGAACATTCTACACAGCACATTAAATACATTTGCAGTCTGGAGTCAACCTGCTAACTGCTAGTTTGCAAGCCTATGTCAAAATAACTTCCTTTCTGCCATCTCTTCTAGATGCCCAAACTAGTTTCTTCCCCTGCTCCAGCAGTGGCAGGCTGACCTCCAAAATAACACTTTGTATTCTATTCTATTACACCTGTGGTCTATTTGTAAGTCTTTACCAGAACTGTAGTATTTAAGGGCTGGATCTGCACATTTTGATTGAATTCCCAGCATAGCACACGCTCTCCTAGTTGATACCTTGTAAATGCTGATGCAATAATGTGACTTGAATGAATAAATGAATCTAATAAAGAAATGCAATTGATGTGGAAAGGATATGATCTAGTTAGAGAACAAACAGGCTCTGATTTAGCCACAAAATACTAGAAGGGGAAATTTCCTGGTTGGACTCCTTAGACAGAAGTTTTGGATAGTGGCCCAAGATTCATGCATTTCACATGTATGTGTCAAAAACCCATGATTCATCAAGCACTCTTCTTATTCACTGGGAATTCAGAAAACAGCAACACAGAAAAAAATCTTATTGGAAAGGGACAGATAAGAAATAAAAATAAAAAATAAAGCAAGTCACGTTTTCAGTTGTTATCATGTGTTTTGGCGGGGATGGGGGTGGGGAATTAAACCAGAATGGAGGGATATGGTAGTGAGAACCTGATGAATGGGGCTGTGCACAGATTTAAATAGGCTACTCACAATCAGTCTCTGTGAGAAAGGGAATATTCTGGAAGAAATAAGAAAGCCATGCGAGTGAGTATCTGGGGGAGGAGTGATCCAGCAGATGGAATATCAAGTTCAAATCCTGAGGCAAAAGTAAACCTATTCAAAGAACGGCGAGGTGGCGGGGGTGGGGGTGGGGGGAAGAGACGAGAGTGAAGGAGATAGAGAGGAAGCCATACTAGATACAGTAACAGCAGGATAAGAGTGAAGCTCTCTTAGGACATTAAAAGCATTTTGTGACAATTTTAACTTTTACTCCAAAGTAAATGGAAGCCATTGGAAGAACAGGAGAGTGACATGGTCTGACATATTTTAGTGGGATCCTTCTGGTGGTTCTATTGAGATTGGACTGAATGGGAACAAGAGAGGAGAAGGATGGCCACTTAGACACTGAGGTAATGCAGGCAAAGAAGATGAAAACTTGAACCAGTGCTGTAGTCACAGAGGTAAAGAGGCTAATTTCAACTTAGTTTCCAAGCTCCTTAGGTTATTCTCATAAGACCATTCTCCTTGTAGAGTAATTGGGTCACAGCATGACCTACCAGCTCCGTCCAAGTATATCTTCTCTGGGATCCTTCTAATTTCAGCACAACCAAAATGAGAAATGAAATTGCCTAATTACCATTTATTCCCCCCAACATTTAGCACAACATCTAGCACACATACGTTGATTGGGTGCATGGATGGATAGATGGATAGATGGATGGATGGATGAATGGATGCATAATCCAATTGACTTAGAATTTAAGCATTACTCATCTTGCTATTTCTCACCATTCAGTGCAATTTGTATTCTTGGAGGCGTGAATAGAGAACAATCGCAAGTCCTGATTGTTGCAAATGTGCTGCTGTAAAGCTGGGCTACAAAGACAGCCATTTTGTCCTGTCTGGTGATAAATAGGCATAGTTTGAGTAATGGCAATTAGCGCCAGAATTCAACTGGTGAGTCACAGCGAACACCACTTGAGTGAACTGATGGATTGTAATCATGACTATTCCTCATTTGGAAGCCTAGGGACTTAATGCTTTTGTTTGCCTGTTTTCTCTCTGGCACAGTCTGCAAGCCTAGAATGAAAAGATTATTATCTTTAACCAACATCTCGTATTCTTCAATTTTCATCAAGCTTTTCACATTTTCATATCAAGAAAGCTGAAAATGATTTTTATGTACCTAAGAATAACTCACTGACATTTTTGCAATGTTGCCTGTAAAAAAATAATATACAGACCTTTTTAGAAAAGTAGTCTTGTATTAACTTCATAAAGCAAGAATATATCAGTTCTTTCTCTTCCAAAAATAAATTAAAGCCAGTGTCCCTATTTTGACGAAAATGATTTTATGTGCACTCAAATACAATGTTCTCTAACCGGGGGTTAAAATAAAATTCAACCATAAATCTTGGAACTTTATAAATTCTGTCAATATTGGATCACCCGCTTGAAGAACAATGTCTTTTTTTAGGCATTCCTCATAAATTTTATCTCTTAATTTTCCTATAAACAGGTTGGTGTGTTTTGCGATCAAGCACCTTAAGTGTATATTTTTATGGGTCTCGGGGTCATTTTAAAATTAGACTAACAAACAGCAAAGGCAGTTGATGTGGATAAACCTTGGGAGAATAAATATAAGAACAAAGGGAGAAGAAAATAATGTGCATCTGCTGAAAGGAAAGATACTGCTGAATACTGATTAGGAAAGTGGTCTGGGAGTTGTTGGAGAAAACCTCTAAAGCATGCAGCTTAATGTACAGCTGCGTTGAAAGGGCAGGGAGAATGCTAGATCCTATGGCTGGGTAGAAACAATATAAATCAGATTTTGCATCGTTAATCTAAGCTCAAGTGCTAACGTCACCTAAAGAATTGTTCTCTACTTTGCTCCTGGTCAAGAGAGGAGCAAAACAATGCATTTGCTGCTGAAATGGTGTAGTAAAAAGGCAGCTACCTGAATTTAGTGGTCTGAGGTTGGCAAGTGGGGCGGTGGGAGGGCGGGGGGAGAGGAAGATTCACAGCCCTGCTGGTAACTGCAAACTAAGATGGGTGTCGCTGCCCTTTCTCTGCAGATGGGCCACTGGGAGTTAAACAAACGAGAGATATCATCGAGTTCATATTAAACTGAACCCCAAGCCACTTGAGCCAGACTCAGTGGAGACTTCCATTCCCCCAAACCCTCAGATTTCTACCCTTTCCAGTTTATCCAGTCTTTCTCCAGAGGATAATTTGCTGCCTCCCTTGACAGGTAGTTCTCTCTGTTTGGTTTTCTTTCTTTCTTCTTTGTTTTATTTGCCTCTTATTTGTTTGTTATGAGAACTAAACAAGATAATAAATATTTTAAATATTAACACATTTCCTGGTACATACTAAATGCTCGATTATATGCATTGTTCTTCAAACAACCACTAATTCTTACCTTTCCTTATCTCATTTCAGTCCACTTTATCTGGCCATTCTTCCAGTGTCTTGGAGTACAGAAACAAAATTTCAGAGCTGAAAGCCTCTGCTGATAATATAAAAACCGAGTCTCAAGGGAAAACATAATGAGCCCCAAATCTCAGAGCTGGTGCTTCTATGAGAACTTCTCTCCCATTTTCTATAACACCAACTTGAATCTTTAGTTTAGGTTTTGTATATGGGGATAAAGACACCAGGTTCTCTGAATTCTGTCTTGGAAGTGTTTTTCCTATCCATCATGTTGTCATGCCCTCCAACCCCATCCTGCTGCCATAGCAACATCATGCTTGGATCATTGCAATATCTTCCTAGCTCATTTCTTGGCCCTTCTCTTTCTTTGAATCTTACTCACCATGGAAGGTCACACTTTTGGAGCCATGCCACCTCTGCTGTTATTCCAATCCTTCATCAGTTCCCACTCTGACATTCATATAAACACAAATTCTTTTGCCTCATTCTGAATACTCATCATCATTGACTGCCTCTCTTCCTACTACACTCTCCTCCAACACATTCCTCAATGCCAGCTGGCCCACTGTTCTCAGTGTATAATAAGTAACAATTGTGCCCATTGATGTGAATGTGCTTAAGTGTTTCCGCTGCTGGATTATGTTATATTTATTATAGTATAGTATGGTTTGGTATAGTTTACCACATTATGTATATGTATTATTATTATATTTCTTTCTTATTTTTCTTGTTCATTCATCTTTAATCCAAGGTAATATAGAATTGAGAAACTGAGTGAAAGTTCCAGAAAATCCCAGGAAGTTGTTATGTGTCTCTCTATATAAGCATATATATGCTTGTGAACAAGCATGCTAGCATTTTTTTCTCTGAATTATTATGCCAAAAGTAATGCCCTTTTAAAAATAATTTTTTATTTATTTGACAGAGAGAGAGATCACAAGTAGGCAAAGAGGCAGGCAGAAAGAGTGGGGAAGCAGGCTCCCTGCTGAGCAGAGAGCCCAATGTGGGGCTCAATCCCAGGACTCTGAGATCATGACGTGAGCTTAAAGCAGAGGCTTAACCCACTGAGCCACCCAGGCGCCCCCAAAAGTAATATCCTTAACCATTTTGTAAGTAAAAATTCATATGAGGGTAGGTTCAAAACAAAACAAAAATCAAAGGAATTCTTATCTCTGAAGTTTCCCTACTTGCAGGATTCATTCTTTGATATTTTAAAAAATGGATTTATTTAGCTTGATAAATAAGAGTTACTATCTGATATCCTCTCTGTGCTTGCAAATTGATTTTTTAATGAACTGGTGCAAAATCTCTTTGAATCTTTCTGATAACATTACCCTTTTCACCTTTGTAAATCAGAGTTGACAGTGTTACACAATGCTGCGGATGGCAGGGTGTGGAGTAAAAGATGCGGCCTTTGAATTGGTGGTCATATCCATACAGAGCCAGAACCATCAACAGATCACCAGAGATCTCCCCTTCTGGGAACTTTTGGCATATAAGTGCTTCCTAGTGTCTTTATGACTATGTTTCTGGTTTTCAGGTATTATGCAAAATATCACAGCGCTGGATATATTCATGGAGGATGCTTTAGATATCAATGTACCTAACACACGTACCAAATTTAAAATGATCTTTAAAATATTGGTAATATTGGCGGGTGGGATGGCAGTTAGGTGAGGCATGCCAAGAGCCTCCAGCGCCTCTGCTGACCCGTGAGAAAGCCATTGGTGTGGGGGCGACCTGGTGCGATGCTCTTGTTATGATGCTGTCTCCTACCAACCTGGTTACTGGAATCTCCGGTAGTAAAGTGAAATACTTAAGGCTTTCCAGTACAGATGATGCCTACACATTGGCCGTGAGTTTAAGAAAAAACACTCTTGAGCGCTTGGGTGGCTCAGTGGGTTAAAGCCTCTGCCTTCTGCTCAGGTCATAACCCCAGGGTCCTGGGATCGAGCCCAGCATGGGGCTCTCTGCTCAGCAGGGAGCTTGCTTCCTCCTCTCTCTCTGCCTGCCTCTCTGCCTCCTTGTGATCTCTCTCTCTGTCAAATAAATAAATAAAATCTTAAAAAAAAAAAGAAAAAGAAAAAACACTCTTAAGATCCCATACAAAACCATTGCACTTACTACAGTGCTGTTTTTTATGGGTGCCTTTTTCATCATAGGCTCCCTCCTTCTGGCTGTATCAACAAAGGGCAGGCTGGACCATTCGGTCCTGATCATTGGCGTCCTGGTGTTCCTGCCAGAATTTTACCACCCGAGCATCTCCTACTATGTATCCAAAGGCTACTGTGGTTACTCCTACCGATGACCTTCCAGATTTTGACAACTAGTGCCCACCCTCAACACTGAGCAGATGTGTCACAGATGGGACTGAAGCCAGCTTTAAGGTATCGAGCAGAAACTGTGGCAAAGGACTGAGGAATTCTGCAGTTTTCAGTTGTTAAACAAAAGAATGGCCAGATTTTATGGGTCCATCCCCAAGTTATCACCTGAGCTTATAGTCACAAATTAACTAATTAGGACATGCTCTATTTTTCATTTCCTGGCCCTGGCAACAGCTGACAAGTTTTTCTGCATGCACATGTATCTTGCAAGAGTAGCAGTGTTAATGATATGGGAAAGCCAGAAGTTATTCTGTAGTGGAAGGTGTTATTACTACCACCTTTCCTATAGTTGAGCATTTCTTTGAAATAGTCCTCATTGTCAGTTTGTTCTGGTGGCAAATGGAAGAATTCGATATGCCAATTTCATATTGCTGGTAATTTATTTTGAAACCTGGTAATTTATTTGAAATTTATACTTAGAAAACATCTAAGTATCTTATTCCTATACTCATCTCTAGCTTTGTATTCTAGTGGAAAACCTTGGCAAAATCAAGTACCAGTGTGCATGCATCTGTAACATTTTTTACTTGTTTTCTTACTAACAGCAGCCAGGACTTTTTTTTAAACCTCAGAGTGAGTTTCCGAAAGGTAAACACTTCCTCTGTTCACTAGTCATTGGTCAGCTTTGATTTGGTTCACCAGTAAACTGGCCAGCATATAATTTGGGTCATTTTTTTCTTTGTAGATAGAGATGCTCGTGTATCATGCCTTTAAGGACTGGACTTTCAGATGTTTCCTAAGGGGAAAAAATGTAGATAAATTGTTATTATTTAGAGATTATAAGCCCATCATTAGCACCTTGTATCATGATGCCATTCTGTTAGAGATCCCAAGAGTTGTCCTGGATCCCTAGAGGACTAGACTGCCTTAGTTTGATTCTGTCTTCCTAGCTTGCGAAACGTGACATATTCAAAAGAAAGTAAAATGCCAAACTCTAGGCCATTTTGTGAAGAGACGAAGACTGAGCAGTGCGGCCACATCGTTGACCTCGAGCAGCAGTTGACTTCTCCACGTAGAACCTGGGAGCAATCTCTTGATTGCTTGATTGAAGAGAATCCTATCTCTTCTCCCTTCCCTGTCCTGTGAGATTTTTTTTGGTCTTCAGCTACATCTTTCGGCTTTGTGAGGAATCTTAACATCAAAGAAGATGGCCAGCAATGTTACCAAGACAGATCCTCACTCCATGAACTCCCGTGTATTCATTGGGAATCTCAATGCTCTTGTGGTTAAGAAATCTGATGTGGAGGCCATCTTCTGGAAATACGGCAAAATTGTGGGTTCATAAGGGCTTGCCTTTGTTCAGTATGTTAATGAGAGAAATGCCCGGGCTGCTGTGGCAGGAGAGGATGGCAGAATGATTGCTGGCCAGGTTTTAGATATTAATCTGGCTTCAGAGCCAAAGGTGAACTGAGGAAAAGCAGGTGTGAAATGATCTGCAGCAGAGATGCAGGGGTAAGTACCAGAACACCCTTCTCCATCCCCTCTACTCAGCTCCTCTTATGACTTGGACGATGACTTTCAATGAAGTTATTATGACAAGATGTATAGTTACCCAGCACGTATTCCTCCTCCTCCTCCTGCTAGGGCTGTAGTTCCTTCAAGATGCCAGTGTGTATTAGGAAACACCTCATGAAGGGGCAAAAGTGGCTTCAATTCTAAGAGCAGACAGTGAGGATCTTCTTCCAAGTCTGGAAAGTTGAAAGACGATGACCTTCAGACCATTAAGAAGGAGTTGACCCAGATAAAACAAAAAGTGGATTCTCTACTGGAAATCCTGGAAAAAATTGGAGAAAAAACAGAGCAAACAAGGAGAGGTGAAGAATGGTAAGTCAGAAGAGGAGCAGAGCAGCAGCTCCCTGAAGAAAGAGGAGACCGATGTGAAGATGGAGTCTGGGGGCGGGTACAGATGACTCTGCTGAGGAGGGGGACCTACTGGATGAAAATGATAATGAAGATCAGGGGGATGGCCAGCTGGAGTTGATCAAGGACGATGAAAAAGAGGCTGAGGAGGGAGAGGATGACAGAGACAGCACCAATGGTGAGGATGACTCCTAAGCACATAGGGGTTGCCATTATGTGCCCCATTATTTCTTTACCTCGGTGCTTGTCTAAGATCAAAATATTCACCAGATCCTCTCCCCTAGTGTCTTCTCTCTGCTCACTGTTTTCCCCATCCTTGTCCTTCCCATGTTCATTAATTCATATTGCCCAGCGCCTAATCCCATTTTTGGTTCCTTTGACACTCCTAGTAGTTATATTAAGTCTTATTTGATACCTCTTTATGACTTACAAGCAAAAAGGATGTGTGATTTTTATCAGCTGTCTCCAAAATAATCTCTCATTACGCAGAGAGTACAGTTCTCTCCATTCATACATGAGCTCAGTAGTTGCTTCCCTAACTGCAGAGGCAGTTGCATTAGTTGAGTAGCACCTGAGAGCAGCTTCAAGTTAGAGGTATGTGTGTTATACCCTGCATAAGACTGCTATGTGGGGCTGGTCAACACAAATGTACCAGTATACTTTTGTGAATGAGAGTTGGCATGTCAAATGTGTCCTCTAGAAAAATAATTAGTGTACTAATCTTAAGATTTGTTTTCTTTTCTTTTTTTTAAAGATTTTATTTATTTATTTGACAGACAGAGATTACAAGTAGGCAGAGAGGCAGGCAGAGAGAGAGGAGGAAGCAGGCTCCCCGCTGAGCAGAGAGCCCGATGTGGGGCTCGATCCCAGGACTCTGAGATCATGACCTGAGCCGAAGGCAGAGGCTTTAACCCACTGAGCCACCCAGGCGCCCCTTAAGATTTGTTTTCTAAAGTTGATACTGTGGGATTTTTTTTGTGAATAGCCTGATGTTTGGGACCCTTCTTTCTCAAAATAAACAAGTCCTTATTAAACCAGGAATTTGAGGGAAAAAAAACAAACCTGGTTTTAAAAAAATGCCTAAATCTAAAAAGTAAAATAATAAAATAAGTTATTGTTAATATTAAAGTCATAATTGGGGCGCCTGGGTAGCCCAGTTGGTTAAGCGTCTGATTCTTGATCTCCGTTCGGGTCTCAATCTCAGGGTCATGAGTTCAAGCTCCACGTTGGGTTCGGGCATGAAGCCTACTTAAAAAAAATTTTTTTAAATAAAAATAAATAATAAAAAATATAGTTACTACTGACTTCTTCCCATGCAAAGACAGAGATAGTTTCACCTCACCTGAAAGCAAAATTTAAAGGTATGATTTGTTAAACTTATAAAATCCTCATGTGTTATAAAATATACTCTAGGATGTGCTAACCTAGCATACCATTCAGTGTTTGAATCTGGACTGAAGTTCACTGCATGGGATACTCTGTTTCCAAGTTCTTACTTGCCGAGTGACTTGACCTTGAGTTGTTCCCAGCTCCAACCTCACAAAGAAAAAGGACTAACTGATACCAAATGAACTCTGTGGTGATAAACTATAAGATAGTTTTTTTTTGAAAATTCAAAGGATAGTTCTTAACATTTTATCTGACACTGGAAGAAGCGTACCACAATGTAAAAGTAGACCTTTTGGTCCTTAAACTTTGAAATAATGTAAATATTTGAAATGATATAAATGTATCATTCCTACCAACTTAGCAAAATGTATTTTTATTTTGGTATATAATGGTACTTTCCAGGATTGTATTTCACAGTGGACTGCACAATATCACCAGGATTTCATTACGTGTTCATTAATTTTATTTATAACTAATGCTGTTCTGGGCTTATTTTCTTTTCTTTTTTTTTCTTTTTTTTTTAAGATTTTATTTATTTATTTGACAGAGATCACAAGTAGACGGAGAGTCAGGCAGAGAGAGAGAGAGAGAGAGAGAGAGAGGGAAGCAGGCTCCCTGCTGAGCAGAGAGCCCGATGCGGGACTCGATCCCAGGACCCTGAGATCATGACCTGAACCGAAGGCAACGGCTTAACCCACTGAACCACCCAGGCGCCCTCTGGGCTTATTTTCAATGTAAGGTAGAATATGTTTCTACATTTTCTGAATTGGAATTACAAATTACAAATTTCCAGGATAATATTAAAGAATTATTTAAATATATAAGATATAAAGCATTTTGGTAGTTCAAGGTGTATTTTTTTCCCTGAAATAAATTAAGTAAATTCTATCCATGTCCTATGTTATTCAGGAATTAGAGGCCTCAGTGAGAGAACATCATAGAGTCTGATGTCCTGGATTGAAACCAGGCTCAATAATTTTGTAGCTATGTTACTTTACAGGAGTTACATATTTTAACTCAACCTCAGTTACTTCTTCTGGATAGTATATGAAATATAAGTATCTGCCAGGTTGGTTAATTATGTGCTGCACATAATAGGTTCTCAATAAAATTGGCTACTATAATTGTTTTATTTCGATTTTTTTTTCTATTGCATGCAATCTCAACCTTGTTACTCTTCATTTGCCCTTTGTTTCTACTCATTTTCTTATAATTCTGCATTTTTTACTTATTGCTCCTCCTCTTTGTTTTACTCCTTAAATCTAGAATACAAATTACATTCCTAATTTTTTTCTGCCTTCCTTGCAATGTCTTAGTTATGACAATCAGTGATTTGTTGAATTCAAGTTTAGCCATTGAAATTTGGATGTGGGTCATGATGCGGTTCAGTTGTTAACCTGTAAAGGATTGGTAGTTTTAGCACATTTTCCTCTTTCAAGAGTATTGCACATTTTCCCCGGTCACAAGGGTAGAATTTAAACTGGGCTGCACTTGCTATATGAAATCTGCCTTAGGTATAAATTTGTGTCAGGAATTTAAGAAATCCAGGTCGAATAGAGATTTCCCAAATTTTCTAATAGACTTAGCAAAAAATAGTTTTTCTTCACTCATCTGTAAAATATGAAAAATAATACACCTCTTCATAACATTCTTTGAATAGGAATGGATGTTAAAT